CGTCCGAGTTTAGGCATCTACGCGAAAAGTAAAAAAGTTTTCGGCATTTAAATAACTAATTATGTCGTGAATAAGTTAGTTTCTCCCAAAGGTAAAATTATTACAATCTGTTTTCTCCCCCTCGATATCCCCAACTTAAACTGCAATAAATATCAACAAACAAGCTGAAGTTTGATTAAAGTTAAAACAAACATTTTTTGATAACGGTCGACGCATTCTGCTTGAAAATGAGTAGGTTGCTTATATTGGTAGGTAAACATTTTATGTCACTCGCTAAATTCAGTCGGTTTGTTGTCTACATTACTCGCCGAATCATAAAATTAGTGTTTGTAAACAATCAAGTATACACAAACGTAAACATAAAGCATAAAGTGCCGTAACTAAATTATCTATGACACCTTCACAAAGACAAGATGTCTCGACTCTCGACCACACTCTCAGCAAAAACGCAGTCGATAATTTGTGGAAGCAACAACTGTCATACAAGATGGTCCATGGAAATCTCGGTGAAAGGAAATGGCATCGCTTTCCGGCCTCGTGCGTGAACGAGAGGTGAACGTATTGCACACCGTGCGACGGACAGAGTTCAAAGGAGGAAGCTATCCGAAATCGAAGTATGTAACTATATTACTTACGTATGGTAAGATTAAATAGGCGAACAATAGTAAGTAAACAGATTACGAATATTACGATAAATATAATTCAAGGTTTGCAACATCTATTTTGAAGTACATATTGTTGTGTGCAATCACTACGCCACCCACAAAATACCGTCAAACTAGCATAGGACAAATCCCAATATTGACTTCCAGTTTCTCAATCGGTGGCCTCGGTCAACTTCCAAAAATTCCAAAAAATTTATTAAACACTTTAAATAAATCTTGGGCACGAATAGAAAAATCTGACATTTTCAAATCAACCGCAATCACGACGGCACGCACCAAACGTCCCCACTTCTCCACACGAAACGTGCAATTCTTCATAACACCTTATCTCTTAACAGCGATAAAACACGTGCGTTATTTAATTTTCGACTGAAAAAACTCTTTATCGCAACGACTAGATCGCACCCTTTATAAGGTACGCAACCTTTACCAAATTTGCCTAAATCAAAGCATCTTATCTAAAATTGAACAATTTAAAAACGATAGAATTAAATCAACAAAATTACGCATTTACAAAACAATTCTAAAAGGAAAAACAAACACTGAAATACAAATTCAAATGAAACGAATTAACTCTGTGCCTGAAAATTTGCATACTGACATCGTTTTTCATGATCTATTTATTATTATTTGTTCTCGGGGTGGTCCCATTCGGTTCCTGCACCGCGACCTTTTGGTCTATTGTGCTCCCCAGTATTATTATTATTTGTTCTCGGGGTGGTCCCATTCGGTTCTTGCACCGCGACCTTTTGGTCTATTGTGCTCCCCAGTATTCTCTACCCCTCAAGAATACCTGTATCTTTGATAAAGTCCAGGATTTTGGTAGGGTGGATCTTCACTACCTCTTCTTGTGTAATCTTCTCGTTTCCAAGTAGGCGTTCTCTTGCTTTTGTGTATGCTTCACATAGGCAGATAACGTGGTGTGGTGTTTCACTTTCCTCACCACAGCCCCTGCATAGAGGGCTGTCAGTCAGTCCCATGTTGTGCAGGTGCTTGTTCAAACAACAATGGCCTGTGGCCATCTCTGTTGCAAGTTTGATCTTCATCCTACTTAACTTTAAGATGGATGATGCTAGCCCCTCGTTTGGGGTTTCCAGAAAGATCTTGGAGTGACTCTGTCCCGGAATTTCCGACCAATGTCTGCAATGCTCTTTTGTGAGTTTCGCTTGTATCTCCTTTTTGGCTGTGTTATATGTAATCCCACAGGCCGGTTCGGGTCCTACGAGTGGTATCGCGCTTGCCGCTCTCGCAAGTTCGTCAGCGACCTGGTTACCTGCGATTCCCGCGTGAATCTACTACATATGAGTTTAATGCTGCAATCGCTGCTTTGCTGTCTGTAACTATAAAGATTTTCTTTCTGTTAAAGTTCTCTTTTAATAGTCGAGAAGCTGCAGTCAAGATTGCATATACTTCAGCCTGAAGCACGGTTGCTTTTTGTCCTAGGCTTACAGAGATTCTGCAGCCCTGTCCATTGCTTCCGTACACTCCACAGCCAGTGCCCTCCTTAGTTTTCGAGCCATCCGTGTAATACACGATTCCATTCAGTTTTATCTTACTGGAATTGTCCTCCCAGTCGGATCGAGTGGGGATTGCCGTCTTAAACAGTTTTGTGAGACAAACTGTTTTGGTTATTCTCTCGGATATCATACCGAGGGTTTTATGCCTGGAGATTTCATCAAAGATGAGCGAGTGTCCCACCCTTGACGATCTCTCCTCGCCATTGACTCTCAGCCGGTATGCCCCTCTGAGCGCCTCCGCCCTAATTACTAGGTGTAGTGGCGGTAAGTTCAAGAGAGTCTCCATAGCTGCAGTAGGGGTCGTTCTCATTGCCCCCGTAATTCCAAGGCAAGCTCTGCGCTGCACCTTGGTAAGTTCCTGTATGTTCTTCTGGGTGAAGGTCTTATGCCACCACACCAGTGACGCATACGTAATGACTGGTTTAATCATTTTAGTGTATATCCAGTGGGTCATCTTTGGCGATAGGCCCCACTTGCTTCCGAACGCTCGCCTACAGGCCCACAGGGACTTTGTGGCTTTGTTCGCTATTTTCTCCAGATGTGATTTGAAGGTAAGCCCTTGGTCTAACGTGACGCCCAAGTATTTCCCTTCTCTCACTAACTGTAGCTTGGTGCCGTACATTGCTATATCCTTTAGCTTTGTCGGCCCTTTTCTACGTGAGAAGAGAATGAGGTTTGTTTTTGTTGGATTAACAGACAAGCCCTCTTCTCTACACCACTTTTCCACCAGAGTCAAAGCTCCCTGCATCACTGCTGACACGGTCTCCTCAAATCTTCCGCGTACCACAATCACTATGTCATCGGCATATGCAACTGTAGTATATCCCGCCTCACTTAATCTCCTCAGAAGTCCGTCCACCACTAAACACCACAGCAGAGGAGAAAGAACTCCCCCCTGCGGGCATCCTCGAGCGGCCCGGACCACTACCGAGTCGTTGTTAAGCGAGGCTGTAATGTTCCTATGTTTTAGCATGGTATGTATCCATCTACTAATGGTAGTGTGTACTCCCTTGCTTTCTATAGCCATGTTGATCGATTCTAGAGTGGTGTTATCAAACGCCCCCTCTATGTCTAAAAACGCCCCTAGAGCCACCTCATTACTAGCTATCGCTCTTTCAGCTGCATCCACAACTCTGTGGATAGCCAGTTCACAGGATTTTCCTGGTTGATAGGCACATTGGTGTTTGCTAATGGGTTCGGACCCCAGTACCTCATCCCTTATGTGTCTGTCAATAAGTTTCTCTAACAACTTTAGGAGAAATGACGTTAGACTGATGGGTCTAAACGACTTAGCCTGGGCGTAGGAGTCTCGCCCAGGTTTGGGTATGAATACGATTTTTACGTCCCTCCACGCCATAGGTATGTATCCTAGGGCAATACTTGCCCTTAGTAAAATACATAGTGTGGAGGCTATCAGGTCGAGACCTTGTTGTAGTAGAGCAGGGAAAATTCCATCCATGCCTGGGGATTTGTACGGATGGAACGTCCTCACTGCCCACCTAACTTTGGTTAGGTTCACTATTTGACGAGCCAGGGCCCAATCTCCTCTGTTCCCTCTGCAAAGTGGTTCCAGAGCATTTGGTTCACACACGTCATTTTTAACGAGGGTCTTTGATCCCGGAAAGTGTGATTGAAGCAAAAGCTCCAGGGTCTCCTTTGCGGTCTCAGTATAGCCCCCCTCTATTTTGCTCAAGGAACCGATTCTACCCTCTGTTCCTTTTTGTAGAGCTCTTTGGAGTCTGGCACTTTCTGGAATTTGTTCAATTTCCTCACAGTACCTCCTCCACGAGTCACGTTTTGCCTTTCTTATGGCCTTATTGTATTCGGTGAGTGTGGTTCTGTATGAACCCCATTCCCCCGTGTATTTTGCTTTGTTAAAAAGCTTCCTTGTCTGTGCCCGCAATCGAGAGAGTCCCTCATGCCACCAGGGCACTTTGTTTGAGGTTCTCCTTTCTTTTGTGGGACAGCTTGCCTCATAGGCACCTTTGATGGCCATGCGAAGGTTTGATTCCATGACCTCCAATTCCGCCGAGTTACTGACTCCTGCAGGACAGTTCTCGAGATTGACCTTTAGGTTCTCTCTATAGAGGTCCCAGTCGGTTCTTCTCGGATTTCTATATACGGATACAGCCGTTTCGTTAGATTCAATGTCAAAACGAATATATCTATGGTCGGAGAGCGATGGCTCTTCCGACACATGCCATTTGTGTACTGAGCTGCAAGCAGCAACAGTTCCAAATGTTATGTCAATTACCTGCCTCCGCCGACTGTTGACGAAGGTTGGCTCATTGCCTACATTAGCTACCTCTAAATTATTATTAATAATATAATCTAGGAGAGACTCACCTCTTCTGTTGACGTCAGTACTGCCCCACACAGTGTGGTGCGCATTGGCATCACATCCGAGAAGTAGCTGCCTGCCTTTACGCTGGCAGTGTTCCACCAGTTTGCAGACTTCTATTGTTGGTGGTGGACTAGGTTGATCGTAAGGGAGGTATGCGGATCCGAGCACAAGCCCCCTCTCGCTCCCATCCCTTTCCACTGCCAGCATTACTGCCACCAGGTCTCTGCAACAGAATTCCCAGAGTGGTAGTAATTTAACGCTATCCCTAGCTAAGATGCACGATCTGGGATTGATTTCGTTTGGCTCAGTAATGAGCCGCGCTCCTTTCAGTCCCAGACCTCGTATTTGCCCTTTGTAGGTCCAAGGTTCTTGTACTAGGGCTACATCAATTTGATGTTTATTCATGTATGCACAGAGGGTGGCAGATGCCGCCCTGCTGTGATGCAGATTAATTTGTGCTAGTCTTACCATAAAGAGAAGAGTAAGACCGAACCTACCTAATGAAGTGCGGTGGTTGGCGCAGTTGGTTGAGGTTCTTCTGAGAGCCCCTCACCTGCTGCTGCCTCTTCGCACTCCATTCGTGTCACCTCCTCTTCTTCCACCTTCGTCTTGGAGAGGAGTTTGAACGTCACCCTAGTGAAGTTCACATAGGGCCGATGGTTGCACGTGGCCCCCATCTTCTCCCAGGAAGTTTGGTCCATAAGGACAATCAAAGTTTGTCCCTTGGGATCCTCCTTCCTGTCAACCACGCGCCAATTGCTGGTTGTCACACCAGCATTCTGGATCTCGATCCTTTTCAGGATCTTCTCCGGTTCAACTTGAGCCCCGGGGATCCAGACGTGAGCCCTAATCGGTTTTGGGAGGTTCTTGGCTTCGACGAATCGAAGTTTCGCACCCTCCCACGGAGCTACACTCCCTAGCTCCGACCTCAGCCAGTCCACCGATGCCTGGTCTGCGCACGTTATCAACAGCGCTCCCCCTCGGTGGCGACACTCTGTGAATTTGGGCGAAACCGCCCCAACGGCCAAAGCGTCAACTCGGTCAAGGATCCAGGTCTGTAGTCGCCCTGTCTCCTCCTCCGACAGCGTTCCTTCCAGGTCTTCATGGACGAAAGCCATTCTGAAGCCTGTTGCTGCTTCACTAAAAGTTCTGGTGTCCTTTACGGTCCCAGTTTTAACTTTTTTGGAGGCACCTCCTTTTGGAGTGCTGCCCTCAGACCGGTGTCGCTTTTGCGTCCCAGTCTTTGGCTCAGCTTTAGTTGATGGGTTGCCTGGTTGCTTGGAGCCCCCAGGTCGTCCCACTTCAGATGGGAGGTCAGGTGGCTTGGAGCCCCCTGGTTCCTGCCTCATCTTCTTTAGCTTCCGGCGCGCTGCCCCGGAGAGTTTTTTAGGCTCTCCAGTACCAGGTGCTCCGGGAGTAGGAATTTTGTTTTGTTTTTCTTGGTCCATATAAGTCCCACGAGTCTGGGGGAAAAGAACGTCCACACGCGCGGTGCCCCCTGCACACGTGCAAGGCGACTTAATACAACGGAGTGGCGCCCGGTGCTCCGAGGTTGGGGCCGGTAGTTGCTGATCCTCTATTCAGCCACGCATCCTTTCGGTCCGGCCCTCTGACCCTTAGGATTTAGGTTGTTTGATGAGGTTGTCTCCTCTTGGTCCGGGCGGTAAAGCCAAGACCCCCCACACCATCCTGAGCTCCCCAGGATCATGCATGGTATATCAACATGGTTCTGCGCATCGAACACATGTCGGCACCGTTAAACCCCGTGCAAGCCCTTGGCCACGACACGACAGCCGGGCGGGGTAGCTGGTCCGCGATGCTGTCTTTGGTTGCTTCCAGTCGCTGTTTCATAAGCGACGAGCATCCTTATCCCTAGCATTAGCCTATGCGTCACTTACGCTCATTCGCTTAGGCCGTTCCCCTATCCGCCACCTGGGGACGCGCCTGGTAGGGAGCCACCCCTCAGGGCATGCATAGTTTCTTCAAAACCCAGAGGATAAAGGGATTATAGTACGCTATCTGCCAGCTCTCCGTATGAATCAAGGTGGTAAAGTAACTTAGCGCCTTTATCAACTATGAATCTTATAAATTGAGGTTATGTTTTGAACGGTGTTTACATTGTCGTTAGAAGATTTACGTAGTGTATTTCCTTTACATATATGTAAATAAATTTAATTAATTCCACATCGCATAGTACACAGTGCATTTTAGAATCTGTTAGGTATTTCCAATGTCGTAACGTGCTAAAATTATTGTACAAAAAGCACTTGAAAGTTGCTGTAGCAATAACAGTGTAGGTCAACAACCCGTGGCAAGTACTGAAATTAGGTGTATCTGTTGAAAATACGCAGTCACATAATGATAATGTACAAAAAAGCTGTAGCGGAAAACAACGAACTTATGATTATGTACTCGCTTTATCCGATTCAGGTTTGTTTTTTCGCTTAGTTTAGTCAAAGATCATGATCTTTGGTTTAGTGTTATTGATCAATAATAACATTGTAGATCAACAGACTGGCATAAATTTCGCAGATACATCTACGCGAAGCTGTGTAGACAAGCCACGATCTTATGTTGACGCATCATCTGATTCAGGTGTTTATATTTTCAATATAATGTACCCAAATCTGCAAAAATGCAATTTATTTTTATTTACTTACACATCTATTATCTTTAGAGGACGGGCAAGATTTCTCTGGGGGATCCAGTGATGAGTATCTTCCTAATGACGATCAAGATATGGAAGAAAGTTCAAATGAAAAGTGGAGTACAGGTGAAATAGAGGACGATGAAGATTTAAATAATATCAACGACCCCTCAAAAGATGAAAAAGTACTTGATGACAAAAGGTCAAAGAAAACCTCAAGGAAGAGAACAAGAAATCCGGAAAACTGGAAAAAACGGCGTGCAGCTATAAGTAGAGCTAGAGGTGCACCATATATGTCACAAAAAGGTGTTCTGAAACCAGGAAAAACTGTAAACAATGAAAACTTGTGTACAGAAGCTTGTCGCCTGAAATGTAGTAGCAAATTTAGTATTGAGATGAGAGAGCGCTTATTCAATGCATTTTATTAACACTAAGAATGCTTATTTGTTTAAAAGCATTATGCCATGTCCACCAAAGCGTATAAAAATGGATGCCAAAAAACATAGAAATTTTTCATTAAAATATTGTGTAATGATCGATGGTAATCAAGAAATCGTTTGTAAACCAGCATTTCGACAGGTATTTAGCATTGGTCGAAAGAAGATTGAATTGCTTCAAAAATCGTTGAAGCTTGGATTACCTACACCAAACCAAGACATGAGAGGAAGGCACACCACACCAATCGACCCCATAAAATGACGAATGATGTCCATGCGTTTTTAATAGAGCATATTAACAGATTTCTAGCAGAGAGTTCTCACTATTCGAGGAATACTAATCCGAACAGAAAATACTTACCGCTTCTGACAGTCAAGAAGATGTATTCATTATATATTGAGAAGTGTAATGAATGTAAAAAAGAAAATCGTTTTAAAATTAAAGAACCAACTTATAGAAAAATTTTTCTCACCGAATTTAATCTTGGTTTTGGAGGACCAAAAAGCGATACTTGTTCAAAATGTGATGCTGGTGATGGTAATGAAGAGCACACTAAATTTTATAAAGCCGCTTTTGGGCAACAAAAAAAGGACAGAGAAGAAGCGTTAACAAATTCAAGTTTGTGTTACTTGACGATGGACCTGCAGCAAACTATGCCATTACCTAAACTGTCCACATCCAAAGCATTTTATCTTCGACAGATCTGGTTCTATAATTTTGGAATTCACACTATTACAATCGACAATTATAAACCTTTTATGTTTACATGGACCGAAGATATAGCTGGAAGAGGAAGCAACGAAATAGCGAGTGCATTTTATTACTTTATTCAAATTTCCAAATCTAATCACTGAAAAATGTTAATCACATAATAGTGTGGTCTGATTCATGTGCTGGACAAAATAAGAATTTTGGTATGATTGCTCTCTGCCAGTTCCTTATACACAGAGGTTTATTTAAAGTGATCGATCACAAATTCCCAGAAGTTGGGCACTCTTATCTGGATTCTGACCGTGACTTTGGTCGCATCGAAAAAAAACTTCGCAAGCACCAAAAAATTTGCGCACCAGAACAATATAGAGAAATGATCAAAACTGCCAGTAAGAACAACGCATCAGTAGTTGACATGGAACACCATTTTTATCACATGGACGAACTAACAAATAAAATGAATTTGATTAACAGGAAGAAGAACACTGATGGTGAAAAGGTTAACTTCGGAGACAACATAAAATGGTTGCGTTTTCAAGAATTTGGAAGTTATTCATACAAAACCACATAATATGATGTAGAGGCACCCTTTAAAACGGTCAGTATATTAAAAAATCAGAGGTGTGTTCCAGCTGAGATTAAACTAAATAGAATCAATGGAAAAACCGGAAGCCTATCAACAGAAAAAATTGAAAATATAAAAATACAGCTTCCTTATGTATGTGTTCCGGCAGTATATTTTTCACGTCGATACTACAAACTTATAAAAAATTCAGTGTATGACAGAATCTGTGTTGTATACCACTTTTATCCAAATTTATATTTTTGTTTTATAGATAAAGGGGTTATTTACCTATTTACCTGTGTAACTATTATATCACCGTTATTTTAATCTTTAAAAGTATATCTTGTGCACATATTAATAATATTTTTTGAAAAAAATCTGGTGCGTTTATATTCATTTTTGACAAAGTTACAACTACTTAAATTAAAAACAGTTTTTTTGTAAAATTGTAATTTTGTTACTTAACACCTTTATCCGTCAACACCTTCAATTATATCTGGCTATTATTTAAATAATATAACGGGCGATCAAAAATGAGTTTCTATCGAGTCGGCTTTGGAAGTTCAAGTTAAATACGATTTCCCATGTAAACAAAAGCTCCAAAGGTGACTCGACAGCAACTCATTTTTGATCGCACAGTACTAACATTGTGAAGATCCATGACTCTCAATGGGGTGCTTAAGAAGCTTCCGAGAAATAACACCAAAATCTACCCATTTTATATTATTATAACAATTTTTATGGGGAGATTTTGGTGTTATTTTTCCGAAGCTAAATAATATACGGTGATGCATTAGAAACGATGCATAGCTATTTCTGTAAATTAAAATAATTTTCAAAAAACGCGTTGGCACGTCAAACTGATCATTGAAGGAAACAGTGTCTAAAATAAAACTTGCTCACTAATGTCCTTGTCTCGCATCGCTGACGGTGCAACCCTTAAAATCTTAAATGATGCATCGTTGGTAAGGTCGCCCATCTCTGAATTCGGATATGTAATTTTTTGGTTTAGTTGTTTCATTTCCAGCGCATTCGACGTTGCAGGTACAAGTTTTCTCTTTTTTATACCACTTGCAACTGCATAATTTTGACGCACGATCGCATTAGCCTCTATTACATAGTGATCGGCCCGACATCCTTCCAATGACATAAACAACAGCGCGCCCTCAACTTACTTTTAAAATATTTCGAAAATATCAAATCTAAAAAATTGTAGTCTCACCAAATTCAGAGAAGGGAAGCCTTCCCAATGATGTCCTATCTTCCTTGTTGTGCAATTACCAATGCTAAGGGTTTTGCTTTAGTACTAGGTATGCCATACAAAAATTAAAAAGTAAGTATATAGGTACTTAATAATTACAAACATTTAAAAGAAAAAATCATCAATATCGACCTGTTCCTAAAACGTTTCAAGATTTTTAAAGGCTTTACTGTTTTGATTATTAACAATCTCTTAAAAAATTGCAAGAATTTTTCCATATACCTATCTCTTCAAACTATAAAATAAATAAGAGTAAGAAAATCAAAAAGAAACTTTTAAGTTCATTCACTACCATAGTTGTAGCAAAGATAACGCAAAAAAATAATCAGTTAGTGTAATTTTACTCAGTCACCAATAATCAACATACAGGGTGATTCCTATAGTACCTGCCACCGTTTGGGAGCGTATAGGGGGTGCCTAGGGGAGTATTTTGATATAGGACACTTGGGGTCGGAAATCTAAAATAAGGGCGCCAGAACCAAATTTATCTTCTGGAATTTCACGCCTGTATGTAGGCAACCCAACCGACCGACGTTTCGCGCGGAGCGATGCAGAGCGAGTTAGCGCGAGGAAGCGACATGGGAGGGAAGGAGGGAAAACGACAGTCAAAAGCAATAACGTTTACAAGTGTTCAACGTGGCCACCGTTGTTCTCAATGCACTTCCTACATCTAGCCAACTATTATTATACTATTGCCATAGTGTTTATTCACTTGATACGCGTCGTTGCAGACGGGATTTCGTGGGTTTAAACAAAATTCTGATCAAGTGTCAGCCACACATCGCCGCCTGAGATCGCTCCGTGTGCACCGCCGGCCGGTTGGGTTGCCTACCTACAGGCGCGAAATTCCAGAAGGTAAATTTGGCTCTGGCACCCTTAATTTAGATTTCCGACCCCAAGTGTCCTATATCAAAATACTCCCCTACGCACCACCTACACGCTCCCAAACGGTGGCAGGTACTATAGGAATCACCCTGTATAGCCATATTGTGGTCAAAGAAACGTAAAACTGGAAACTTACCTTTTCTGAACACTACCACCAGAAATAAAATTTTTTAAAATTAAAAAAAAAGTATACACAAAATCAAAACCCGTGCTCAGATAAATTTTAAAATACCACTCTGTCAAATGTTCAAGAATGAAGTTACTATACAGGCGTTAAAGTTCTAATTAGTTGTGGTCATACGTACTTAAACCTGATTTTTCGGACCTAATTAATTTTACCTTGTAATAAACCCTATTCATCTTCCAGAAATAATAGAAATGAAGTCATTACGATATTTCTCTTATTGTTTCTTTATGAAGTGCAATTTGTGTTATCGGGGTCTT